ACAACTGGACTAAACCAAAGCTAAGAAAGTTTCCTGAATACCATCAAACACTTTGTGGGACAGAGTAGCAGGGGTAGGAGTTTGGGGACCATGCTTTCAGAGGACATCTAGGTCGGTTGGCATAAGAAAGCTTATTAAGGAAATGTTGGCATCTGAGGTCTTAAAAGCTTGCAAGCAGCCAACTAAGATGGCATCAGTTGGTCCCAACTACCTGGAGTAAAGGAGAATGAAGAACACCAGAGACACAAGGAAAGTATTAGCCCAGAGACAGAAGGGGCCACATTAACCAGTGACTTCATCAGCCTGAGACCAGAAGAAACAGATGGTGCCCGGCTACCACCAATGACTGCCCTGATAAGGAACACAACAGAGAGTCCCTGATGGAGCAGGAGAAAGTGGGATGCAGAGCTCAAATTCTAGTAAGAAGACCAGACTTAATGGTCTGACTGAGACTTGAGGAACCCCGGAAAGCATGGCCCGTGGATTCTCTATCAGCCCAGAACTAAAACAGTTTCCATGGCCAACTCTTCAGATAGGCATTGGATTGGACTGGACTGTGGGACATAAAGTGATACTCGTGAGGAGTGTGCCTCTTAGCTCAAGTGATACAAGAGACTAAATGGGCAGCTTCTGTCTGGAGGTGAGATGGGAAGGTAGAGAAGGGTTAGGAGCTGGTTGAATGGACATGGGGAATCGGGTGGAAAGGAGCAGTGTGCTGTCAAAGTATGGGGAGAGCAATTAGAGTCACATAAAAATGTATAAATTTTTGTATGGAAAAAAAAACAAATTACAGCCCTTGACACTTGTTACAGGTCGTTTAAGAGTTTCCTTGCCTCCGCCCTCTCTCTTTTTCTTTTTTCTTCCTTCTGCTTCTCTTCCTGTTTTTTTAGTCTGAAAAACCTCTGAGGGGCTAACTGCATAAGTACATAAACTCCTTGTCAATTTCGAGTCCCCTCTTGATATGCCAAAGATACTTCATTTGCATAGTGGAGTAGAGACACTTCATTTGGATAGTAAATTGACTAGTCCCAGCAAGGTTCAAACCAAATCACAGGGCAGGCAGCAGCCTAGGACCAGACAGAAGTATCAAACCAAGTTGTTTACAGCTTACTCAGGAAACCTCAATCAACCTGGACAAAAGTAACAAAGGCTTTAAGAGTACAAAACTAGGACAAAGGTAACTCCTCAGGGATTAGTGTAAAAATCTGAGAAGGTGTTTTTCCAAAGAACAAGCTAAAAGGCCACACAAAGGAACTGATTTCACCACAGATCCCAGATCTTTGCTACTGGTATCTCCCTTTTCAGTCCATCCATCCCCAAGGGAGGAAAGTTCTATCCTAGTGTTAGTCATTTGATATCTAATGGAAAAACAGTTATTTGATACCCCACAGAGGTAACCTGGGTAAGAATTTAATACAAGGTTAGCTTTTCGTGCACCAAATTTTGATTTTTTTTCAGGCATCCACACTGGTCGTGCCAGTCACTTTGTGAAAGTAACGTGAGTAGGCTTTATTCTTTTCCCAATCCTGGGACATTGCTTGGAAAATTTAGCTGTATAAGATTTGTGGGAGAGTAGTTCTTATGCTTTACCCCTCCCCCACAAACCTGGCTAAGTTTATTTCCATTTTTTGATGGTTCAGTTTTCTTTCTATTGCCTGCAAAGAATGATGATATGAATGACTGCTGTAACTTAGGAATAGTGTTAAGTGTTTCTATTTCAAATTTCTGCCCTAACAATAGTTAATGCCAACTATTGTATTTCAAATCCCAGAGATGTTGGAAGTAAGAGTGCCTAGAATAGGCAACACAGTGCTTTCTTTTTTTCTTTCTTTCGTTAACTTTCTCTGCTCCCCATAACAGTTATTAAAAGGGATTCTTTGCTTTGAAGTCAAAGTTAACTCTGTTCCTGTTTCGGGCATGGTCTCACCAGACAGTGAGTGAATTGTGGTTTTGATTTGGTTTCCTTCATAGCACTTCTCACAGTTTTGATGCTTTTTGTGGCGGTCTCTCTCTGGCTTCTCTTTGTCTCTCTTGCTCCGCAGTGTACCCCAGGTGCCCTCAGTTAATATTTGTAGATGAGCAGGTATTGAATGCCTTTTCCTCAGATTTGTTTTCCTTGTCTTTAACCAGGATTGTTCTTTAAAAATAGTTTTATGAGATGATAAATATGTCATTTAATGTTAATTTTAGACCCTCTTTCATTCACTTTCTATGTTGTAACAAAGGCTTTAAGTTGTGGTGATGTTTCTGAAGAGTTACTTTTTTGTATATTTTAGTAATTAATAACCCTGATACATCACATTCCACCTTTTATGTGGATTAGCATTGCATGAATTCTTTCCCTCTTGAACTTGATGAGTATGATTTTACATCTCTTGTGTTTCTCCTTAGTTGATATTAGAAGAAGTTGGTACTTAATCTAGGGCTCATCCCAATGAGTTGGAGAATCAACTTTTAAAAAGTTGCAGTATATGCAGGATTCATTTATAGTTTATAAGTTTCTCCGGGGCTCACAGGACTTAAAATTTATTTATAGTGGACATGTAAATCAAATTACAAATTTTTGCTCAGCAAGTATGTCATTAATGTATGTGATCAAAATAACCACTGGTGTGAAGAATGATTTAAGTTAGGACTTAAATGTTTTAATGAAAACTTTTTTGAAGTGAACTATGGTCCACAGTGTGGTGTTTGCATCTAGAGGTTCATCAGAAATCTTGATAGGTTTTGTAAAAGTAAAAATACTTTCCTTCTTTTATACTTCATAAATTTTGGCTAGAGACTTAGTAGTTTTTTTAACCTAATGTTTTCTCATAAGTAGTAGATAATTTGTCATAAATATTTTTAATTCAAATTAAATGCCATATTCCTTTTCAGAATATTGTAGTGAATTAAAGTGTGTGTTGCTTTTGATGATGGCCAATTTATTTCTCAAGAAGGGAGTACATTTTCTGGATAGCCAAGATTAACCAGTTAAATTGTATAAACCTCACTTCACTGCACTGCACTATATCTTCGTTTAGAAATAAATTATCTTTTTCTCCTCTTTTCAAATGTAGGTTATATATTTGGGGAGAACTCCAGAAGAAGCATACAGAGTATTAATGTTTGGAGATACATCCTATATTCCTTTCAGGTAAATATAAGAATGATGTGGTAGATTCATTGAATGAAGCCCTTACTAAAAATATCTTGGTAGTTGTTTCTGAAAAAATAAGACCTGGTAAGTAGTCATTTTAGAGTGAGTGTAGATAATACCATAGACTTAGGTTTCTCAACAGTAAATAACACTATTGACATTTTGTTGTGAGAAACTGTCCTATACATTGTACGATGTTTAGCAGCATCCCTGGCCTCTGCCCCCTAGACGCCAGTAACACACACGGCACCACACACACCAACTTTCAAAACCAAAAATGTCTCCCAACATCGCCAAAGGTCATATCCCATGAGAGCAGAATTGCCCTTGGCTGAGAACTACTGCTACTGATAGAAATTAGTCTTAATAATCCCCTGAGAATCTTGGATTTATGATGCTCAAAACTGTCACCAAGGTGTTTGGTTTTATGTGGAAATAAAGTTTTCCCAGTGATGGGTTAAATTCTGGGGCAAAAACTGTCTCCTTTTTCCTAGGGAGACAGGCAGCAGAGATAGTGGGTCAGGTTGCTAATACAGCACCACTACCAGAAAAACCAGTCAAACTGCTATGTCATACAGAAGAATAATGTCTTTGCATAAGTGATGACATCCTTACTATATGATTGTGCTAAAAGTATTTTGAGAAAAACTTTTTTTTTAATCAAATTAAGTTCTAAATGTTTCTCTACACGTTTATTAAAATGTGTGAAATTTTGCTTGTTGCATACTGTGTGGATAATTATAAATATTTTTCTTCCATTCACAAAATTAATTGTTTTAGGATTGTTGCATATACCTCTAATGTCTAATTTTGAACGTGTGGCCTTCCCTTTAAAACATAAGGTTATGAAGTCAGCTTCATTGTGGATGAGCTTTAGGATAGGTCTCCCTAACAAAGGCAGAATCTCTTTATAAATAACTTCATAGGACCTCACATAGATTTTCTTAATGAAATAGAGATTTGTTATGACAGTATGCAAACTTCAGGAATAATGTTGCACTTGCTGTTATGTTGTTGTTAGGTGCCTTGGAGATTCTGACTCATAGCGACCCTATGTACAACAGAAAGAAACACTGCCTGGTCCTGTGCCATTCTCATAGTCATTGCTATGTTTGAGCCCATTGTGTCAATCCATCTCATTGAGAGTCTTCCTCTTTTTTGCTGACTCAACTAAACCACAGAGTGGAGCATTCTCCTCAACTTGTAATATTACAGCCACCATATAGCATACAAATGCATGTATTTGTGGTTCCTGGGTTACAGGCACTTTGGCCGTCTCTTGATACACAGTGATAATTTTTTCTACAGAACTCTTCTTTATAATGGTAATCTTTATAATAGTGCCATTCTTGCAGCTTACAACACAAGGTCCTGAAATATGAATAAGCTCACAGATTTCATGTAATCTAAGTAAGGACCTCTGGAACACTGTGATACGTAAAGAGATTTTGCACTCATTTAACTACAGTTGTAAGAAGCGGAACATTACCAATCCTGAACTTTATATGGAATGGCAGAAGGCCCCAAATAGCTAAAGCAATGTTGAAAGAGAAGAACAAAGTAGGAGGACTCACAGTTCCTGATTTTAAAACATATTATACAGCTACAGTAATCAAAACTGCCTGGTACTGGCATAATAATAGATACACAGACCAATGGAATTGAATTGAGAGTCCAGAAATAAATCCACACGTCTGTGGTCAGCTGATTTTTGACAAGAGTGTTAAGTCCATTCCGTGGGGAAAGAAGAGTCTCTTCAATAAATGGTGCTGAGAAAACTGAATTTCCACATGCTGAGAAATGAAGACAGGATTCATGCCTCACACCATACACAAAGACAAATTCAAAATGGATTAAAGACCTAAATGTGCAAACTCTTATTGTTAGGTGCTGTCTAGTGAGTTCCGACTCATAGCAACTCTGCGTACAATAAAACAAAACATTGCCCGGTCCTGTACCATCCTCACAATTGTTGTAATGTTTGAGCCCATTGTTGCAGCCACTATGTCAGTCCATCTGATTGAGGGTCTTCCTCTTTTCGCTGACCCTGTAGTTTCCCAAGCATGATGTCTTTCTCCAGGGACTGGTCCCACCTGATAATTAGCCCACAGTTATGTGAACGAAGTTTTACCATCCTCCCTTTCAAGAAACACTGGCTATATTTCTTCCAAGACAGACTTGTTTGTTCTTCTGGCAGTCCATGGTATATTCATTCTTCTTCGCTAACACCTTAATTCAAAGGCATCGTTTTTCTTTGGTCTTCCTTATTCATTGTCTAGCTTTTGCATGCATATGAGATGATTGAAAACATCATGGATGGAACAGGTGTGCCTTAGTCCTCAAAATGACATCTTTGCTTTTTAACACTTTAAAGAGAACTTTTGCTGCAGATTTGCCCCATGCAGTACGTCGTTTGATTTCTTGACTGCTGCTTCCATGGGCGTTGATTGTGAATCCAAGTAAAATGAAATCCTTGACAACTTTAATATTTTCACCATTTATCGTGATGTTGCTTATTGTTCCAGTATTGAGGATTTTTGTTCTGTTTGTAAAACGTTGAGGTGTAATCCATATTGAAGACTGTAGTCTTTGATCTTCATCAGTAAGTGCTTCAAGTCCTCTTCCCTTTCAGCAAGCAAGGTGGTGTCATCTGCATATAGCAGGTTACTAATGAGTCTTCCACCAATCCTGATGCCACATTCATCTTCATGTAGTCCTCTTCTCAGATTATTTTGCTCAGCACACAGATTGAATAAGTATGGTGAAAGAATGCAACCCATATGCACACCTTACTTGATTTTAAACCATGCACTGTCCCCTTGCTCTGTTCACTTGCTCTATGTTCAGGTTCCTCATGAGTACAATTAAGTGTTCTGGAATTCCACGTCTTCTCAGTGTTATCCATAATTATGTTATCCACACAGTTGAATGCCTTTGCATAATAAAACAAAAGTAAACATCTTTCTGGTATTCTCTGCTTTCAGCCAAGATCCATTTGACATCAGCAATGACATCTCTGGTTCCACGGCCTCTTCTGAATCCAGTTTGAATTTCTGGCCTGTCGATGTACTGCTGCAACTGCTTTTGAATGATCTCCATCAAAATTTTACTTGGATGTGATAATGATATTGTTAGATAATTTCCGCATTCTGTTGGATCACCTTTCTTTTGAATGGGCAAAAATATGGATCTCTTCTAGTCAGTTGAATAGACTTGGCATAAACAAGTGAGCATCTAGAGCACTGCATCCGTTTGTTGAAACACCTCAGTTCCTGTCAATTCCTGGAACCTTGTTTTTTGCCAGTGCCTTCAGTGCAGGTTGCACTTCTTTCTTCAGTACCATCAGTTCTTGATCCTATGCTACCTCCTGTAATGGTTGAACGCTGATCAATTTTTTTGGTACAGTGACTCAGTGTATTCCTTCCATCTTCTTTTTTTTTTTTTTTATTGTGCTTTAGGTGAAAGTTTACAACTCAAGTTAATTTCTCATACAAAAATTTATACACATATTGTTATGTGACCCTAGTTACAATCCCTATAATGTGACAGCACACACCCCCTTTCCACCCCAGGTTTCCCATGTCCATTCAACCAGCTCCTATTGCTTTCTGCCTTCTCATCCCGCCTCCAGACAGGAGCTGCCCATTTAGTCTCGTATATCTACTTGAACTTAGAAGCACTCTCTTCGGGAGTATCATTTTATGTTTTATAGTCCAGTCTAATCTTTGTCTGAAGAGTTGGCTTTGGGAATGGTTTTAGTTATGGGTTAACAGAGTCCGGAGGCCATGTCTTCTGGATTTCCTCTAGTCTCAGTCAGACCATTAAGTCTGGTCTTTTTATATGAATTTGAGTTCTGCACCCCACTTTTCTCCTGCTCTGTCAGGGACTCTCTAGTATTCCCTGTCAAGGGTGGTCATTGGTGGTAGCTGGGCACCATCTAGTTCTTCTGGTCTCAGGCTGACGGAATCTCCCTGGTTTATGTGGCCCTTTTGTCTCTTGGGCTGATATTTTCCTTGTGTCTTTAGTGTTTTTCATTTTCCTTTGCTCCAGCTGGGTTGGGACCAATTGATGCCTCTTAGATGGCTGCTCACAAGCTTTTAAGACCCTAGATGCCACTCACCAAAGTGGAATGCAGCACATTTTCTTAATAAACTTTGTTATACCAATTGACCTAGATGTCCCCTGAAACCATGGTCCCTAGACCCCCGCTTCTATCTTCTTCTGAAGCTTCCTGCATCGTTTAATATTTTGCTCACAGTATCCTCAGTATTGCAACTGAAATCTTGAATTTTTTCTTCAGTTATTTCAGCTTGAGAAATGCTGAGCGTGTTCCTCCCTTTTGATTTTCTAACTCCAGGCCTTTGCACATTTCAACATAATACTTTGCCTTCTCTAGCCACCCTTTGAAATATTCTCTTCAACTATTTTACTTAATCATTTCTTCCATTCACTTTAGCAACTCTACATTCAAGAGCAAGTTTCAGAGTCTCTTCTGACATCCATTTTGGTCTTTTCTTTCCATCCTGTCTTTTTAATAACCTTTTGCTTTCTTGACGTATAATGTCCTTGAAGTCATTCCACAACTCCTCTGATCTTTGGTCATTAATGTTCAATGTGTCAGATCTGTTCTTGAGATAGTCTCCAAATTCAGGTGGGATATACTCAAATTCGTATTTTACTTCTGACTGATATGAAATAGTACAATATTATTGAAGTTCGTATTTATTGTACTTTACAAAAGTATTGGCCTAAGACTGAAAACTTAAAAATCTTAATCACAACAACAAAAATATGGTGCCTTATCATATTTTATTCTTGTATAGAACAGTCAGTGGCCAGTGCTTTTTCTAGAAATAGACTGCCAAGTACTTCTTCCAAGTCTCTCTTAGTCTGGAGGCTCTGCTGAAACCTGTCCACCATGGGTGACACTGCTGGTATTTGAAATACCGATGTCATAGCTTCCACCATCACAGCAACACACAAGCCACCACGGTAGG